CTTTGGTGAAATCAACATATTTTAGGATGGCTTCGTTGTTTGCAAAAAGAGGTGAAATATGGAATACGGTCTTACAATCGGGACAACTATGGAGTGAAAGTTGTATGAAATATATTAAGGCAGAGGGTGCCAAAGCCAATACCCATCTTGTTATAAGGCTCGATCGACATAGCTACAACTTCATTGTCAAAGAGACAATCGACCACAACGAGGGGCTACCAATACAAGAGTATATGGTTATACTACCATCTTATTGGTGCGATTATGTAAAGCTTCAAGCCTTTCGTATGTCTTGCTCTCATGTCAATGCGGCATGTGCGTATACTCATCAAGATGCATTACTACTTCTATCTCCCATTTACAACTTCGAAACCTTGCTCAGTGTATACAACAATGACTTTCCAATGGTAGAGAAACCTAATTATTGGCCTGCATACGAAGGGGAAATATTATGTCACAACAATCAAATGCGAAAGAATAAAAGGGGTCGTCCCAAAAGCAAGCGTGTCACAACTGAAATGGACTCCCTTGATAAGCTAGAAAGAAAGTCTGGTTTATGTCGTCAAGTCAGACACAATCAAAAAAATTGTCCCACTCGTGCTACAGGCTCGACAACATAAAATTTTTATGCAAACTATCTACACTTTTTTAAGATCTAAACGTAACTTTTTTCATTAAGAACATTTGTTACAACAAACCATACGCAAACAACAAATAAAAACACGATAAAACATCTAAGAAATTACAACTGTCAAAACAATTTCATCTGAGCCATGCATCATCACCATTACGTCTTTGTCTGTTTTGACTTCCTCCAACCAAGATTGAGGTCTTCCAGTTGCAAGTGAGGTGGATGTTTTTCTTCTCTTGATCTTTCTAATTTGTTCCCCAGCATCAATGTCTTCCTCTAGCAATCACATCAACCCTCTCTTCAGACGCTCCATGGAGTGAATGTGCCAAAATTTCATTTTCATCGGAGGTTTGGTGGCCGAGAAAATAATGTATCATCCCTGGTGAAAATCATGAGAGATGTCATGATGCAAAGAACATAGAGAAAATGAGAAGAGAATATGAGAAAGTGTGAAGAATGGTGGAGAAATGAATGTTTTATTTATAGAAAACACAATTGCACGTAGTAGCCATCTCAGATGACGCCTCCTCCTCATATCATAGTATATGCATCATCTCACATGGCTAAAATAATGTACATGCGTCAAATGAGATGGCGTCTAAGACAAAAAGGTTAGTGAATACGCCAAATGAGATAATACCTCCATTATTATACATTTCAAAACATGATTATTTGTGTAATTTTCAACGACACATAATTATTTATATATATTTTTTAAAATATAGTTATTGTTAAAAAAAATTCATTTAATCATATTTTTCTATCAATAACAAAGACAAAAAGTACAGAGGAAAATGGAAAATTATGTGTTATAATGATAATACTGTTTTAAACAGTAGTAGCATACTCTACTACACCTACAATTTCGTGGTCCACACATAAATTGCAATTTATTTTCATTTTCTTTTGTTGTTTCTGTCGTATCCATATATAGGTTGTTGCATACAAATTTAAAACTACCTGTAAAATGTAAATCCTGTCTGTTGCAACTTCACAATCACAATTGTTATTTTGGGAATCTTTGCCTTTATTATTAAAAGTTTATATAATTCAATATCAAACTTGTTGTTAAACAGCTTAAGATTATTAAATAACTAATCATGAATTCTATGCTAGTTTAGGCTATGAAAACAATTTTATTCCAGATAATTAGTCCTTGACTATCAAGCACTCATTCAGATGTCTTACGAGAGACACGATTAAGATATTGGCACGTTAACACTAACCACATCTTTGTTTATATATATATATATATATATATATATATATATATATATATATATATATATATATATATATATATATATATATATATATATATATATATAAAGTCAATACAGAAATAGAATGTAATAAACTGCACCGCTATTCTCTTTTAGATCACAAAATCAATCCTCTTAAAAATTACATATATAGACTTAGGAGATACAACATTGCTATTCATAAGCCTTTGAATTGTTTCTGGTGTTAGGAAATCAAAAGTGTCAAAAATAAATGGTATAAAAATATGTTGATTTTTAAAACAGACTTTTTCATGTTTGACCACTTTAGTGGAAGCAGCTTTGAGTGTTGTCTCTCCCATAGTAAAACCACCATCCCTCAAACTCATCAGCGGAGAAACTCTCGTCAAGTCCACACAAGCATGTTTCTCTCCTACCCACCCGTACACTAAATATCTGCTGGCTTAAGTGTCGATCTCCTCTCAAGAGGATCAGTAAAAAAATTCACATGCACCTCTTTCTTCACAGATACTCCGACATTTCAGAATATATCAAATAAGACATTCCTAACAAGGTCATATCGGTATTTGAAGTCTAGAAGCTCCCTAAATTGAATCGTGTGTTCTCCAAATATATTCAAACATGTCTTACGACAAACAGGAAAAACCTCATCAATAAGAAATAAAGAAATCATAAGACGATATCTTAGGATAGTACGATACTCCATCGATGACATATGTTGGTCTAACCCATCAATAGGAATAGTAAGGAGAAAGTTCTGAGCATAATCGACTTGCAAACAACCAAAAATTGTCTTCTGCCTTATGGTCATGTCAAACTTCACATCTATGTCCTTAACAATTTTACTAAAAATGACACTAGTCAAAACATGTCGTGCTTTAGGAGGGACGATGTCCTTACTAGTAAAATTATTAAGGTCAAAATCTGGAATCGCAACACTAAGACCATCCAAAATTCTGTCGAAATTTGAATCCATACCATACAACCGAGTACAAACCCAAACCCTCAACTCTAATAGGTAATAAAGCCACCCTCGATTGAAAGTCCCAGAAGAAGGGACCTCCACCAACCACAATGTCTTCAATCGGCTTCCGCAACTCTTTATCAAACCAAACAACAACTTCCTCCATATGAGTAGGTTGACACGTTCTTAGGCCAAAAATTAATTTGACAATACCCATGAAGGATCGAAATAGAAGAAGCTCACTATAAGGATCCCATAGTTGTGGTAGAAGGTGCATTAAATCAATAGTCTTAGAAACTCTCTTCTTGGACAACTCCTTAATGAAATCGCCATTCCGACTAACAACCCCTCCAAACAACTTCATCCCTAACATCGGCCTTCCAATTTCTAACCGAAACAGATCCTCACGAAATTATATATATGATGTACGGTCTAATTTATATAGGTTTAAGTTATATTTGACATTTTTAAAATAAAAAAACATAAATTTTCTTATAAACTTATCTAATTAAAAATACTAGACTAATTTATTTAAGTAATAATAATAATTATTACAATATTTTATATTTTATAATTTTTTTAAAAGTTTTTATACTAATTTTTGACCTATTTAATATCGACTAATTCAACTCGTATATTAAATTTGATATTCTCTGAATTGCGTCATTAACAAAAATTCCTTTAACTGAGAAGTCCAAACTAATTAATTATATTATATTTTATACATTGAACTAAAATAGAAAAGTAACATTTAATTATTTTGACTCTATAAAAATAGATTGAAATCATTTTATGAATAATGTTATTAATTGCTTACATTTGTTATTTTAAATAAATAATATCACAAGATTAATATTACTATGTCTCTAGAACAATTTTTGTTCACTAAAATCAAATCTCAAACTCTTTTAACTTGGAAAATAATAGTGATAAAATCAGAAAAATTATGAAGTTTGAACAAAATTTTAAAAACGGTAAAATAAAAGATGAACATGACTTCGTTTTACTTCCTTTGTGTGGGTTCGAGCAACAAAATATAATTGACTTAGAATTTTATTTTTCATTTTGGTTCTTCATTAACTGAGTTTCAACTTTCACCTTTTTTTCCATACAAATCATCTCAATTTCAATAAAATTTTAAAAGGTTAGAATTAGATACGACAAAGCCTACTTCATTATATTATAGAGGATATGTTAAAAAAAAAAAAATTAGCCAATACAAGTGCATGCAAATAATAGAAAACTGTAGTATTAATTAAATAGATAGGAGTGGGCGAATCTACCTCAACCATAACATGTGCATATGGTGTGCTAGCATACAAAAAGCATTAATCACCAATCAACTTGTTGGTCATAAATGTTTAGTTACTAAAAATCAAATGGTTTCCGCATACTAAATTACAAATACTAATTCACGCTTGGTTGCAAAAGGTGGAAAAATTTATAGGTACAAAAGAGTAGATAATAGATAGTGACCAGTTTAGAGGGGTACCCCAACATTATAAGGTGGCAAGGGTAGGGGTCCTTAGATGTTGGATGTCTAGAAGCAAAGCCATTGGAGACAATAGATTAATGATTAGTCCCACATCACAATCATCATTATTCACTAAACCAATATCAACACTACCATTTGTTTTTTTATACATTCTTCATTCATCACTCAAACAATCACACATGGGATGGCCTTTATTAATATGTCTACTTCTTCCCAATAACCATTATCCAAATGAGACTATAAATTGTGGTCCAATACTCTGATTATGATTGTAATTTTGCGTATGCGGTAAGTTTCACAATAATATTAGATCACATTTACATAAATAAATTAATCTGCATTGCAATAATTGCAATCGCAACACTCACAACTGCATTACAATAACTATAATGTGCGTTGCAATAATTGCAATCGCAATACCCACAACCGCTTCTGGTGATCGAAACCACGATTTAAAATGATGATTCTAATAATTGATTTTATTCTAATAGGACTATATAGTATTAAAACCAGCATAGTCTTCCTATAATGATCTAGTGATTCCAAACTCATACACTGCCAAAACATTTTAATATATATTGATTATACACTTCTCAAAATTTTATTAGTCCAAAGTGGATCTACTACTAACCTTTCAACAAACACCTTTGTTGGATCATTCCCTCTAAAATGGCTAACCAAGAGAAGCAACACAAGAAAGGGTTCATGTATATTTACAAAACTAGCACAAGAAACAAAGATTTAGAACATGGTATGGAAAAAGTAAAGAAACCAAGTTCAAGAAGTTGGTTACAATGGATAAGATATCCAACAAGAAGTTACAATGTTGAAAATGAAGGATATGTTGAGGCAAGAAATTCTACATCATCATCAAGAGGAGGGTATGTGGAAGGAAGAAACTCAGTGTCTTGCATAGAAGCATCATCATCGCCAGCAATAACAACAACAACAAGAAGAGGAAACATAGTTGAGGAAGGAAGAAAATCAGTGTCTTATGTTGAAACAAAGTTTGTAGAATCAGAAAAGGTTGTTGGCAAATTTGTTGAGGCAAGAAAATCAGTGTCTCAAATTGAAACATTGTCTTCTGTAATTGAATGTCTTGAAGTGAAGGTTTTGGTCTCAGATATGCCAAGTTTCATGCAAGTGCATGCTTTTCGTTGTGCAAGAAGGACTTATGATAGTCTTGAGGAGTTAAGCTCCAAACATATAGCTCATAACATAAAAAAGGTATGCTTATTATGCTTTGATTTTCAACTCTCCATTTCATCACCATTAGTTTAATTATTTTCTTCTCATAAAAGTTAATGTGTGCATGATCAAAAATTTTATTTTATAATTGTATTTAGTGAAGTAATTAGATAGATTGATATAAAGAAATGTATATTACAAACTATTTTGTTGTATCAGTGTTTTCATAATAGAAATATATCGATCGTCTCAATCAATTTAACTAAGAAACAACCAGTCATTTGGTTTTCATAATAGAAATATATCGATCGTCTCAATCAATTTAACTAAGAAACAACCAGTCATTTGGTTTTCATAATAGAAATATATCGATCGTCTCAATCAATTTAACTAAGAAACAAGCGGTCATTTGGTTGGTTCAACCATGACCGATTCTTAATAATTAGAATCAACTTAAAGTTATGACACAAGACTATCAACTTCAAAGATATGACACAGACACTCAATGCACTAAAGATTAAGGTAGAATTTCTACAAGACATTGTTTATTGTCTTGGAATAGAGAGAGCCATAAAAAGGATGATATTCTTATTTTGGTGTTTCATTTTTGGAATTTTGCTTGTTGGATGATAGTGATTTATTCAATGAACCCCACCAAAGATTTAATGGTGAAAGTCGACTGAATGAAACCATGTGTTGACATTATGTGTCTCTTTTCTTTTTCTTGTTTCATTGGATTAAATAATTGAACAATTCAATGCATTATAAATCAATGATCTACAAAAATAAAAAATAAAAAAACACTCCTATGATCAGATCCTTAGATCTTGACCATACATATGGTAACCTCATCAAATCTTAATCACCAAATTCTCCAACAACCCATGTGTTAATCTTCCATGCCCCTAATAATACAACTTAATCATTCACTTATCATCTCAAAATAAGTCTAATCAATTTATAATCTTCTTATTAATCTTACACAAGAGTCTCAACCCATGTGCACAACATCAGAAACAGGGTTAAATCATCTATAAAAAAATGTTTTATTTTATTAAATTAATTAATTTACAATATATTGTGGTGTGTTCATGTGCAGGAGTTTGATAAAGCCTATGGTCCAGTATGGCATTGTATTGTAGGCCCAAGTTTTGGTTCTTTTGTGACACATTCAACTGGTTGTTTTCTTTATTTTTCAATGGAAAATTTATATATTCTACTCTTTAAAACCAAAGTTAAGAAGACATTGGATTAAGGTACAATTTTTTTAATATTATCTTTAGGAAATTATTTACTTATATTTTTATAGTTTAAGATTTAGCACCCACTTTATATGAAACTTGTCAATTCAGGAGCTTGAGAAGATAGACAATTTCTTGAAGAAGAGGTTGAATGGAACTATGAAAGTGTGGAAGAAAAATTATCTTCTAACCAATCACATTATAACTTCAAACTTAAAGCTCAAACATAATCCACCAAAGCAAAATATTCAAGGCTAATTTAATGCCCAAATGAAGAGACTAAAGCTTTATTCAAACTGTATTACAAAAGCTCATGCTATTATAGAAAGGCTTGAAACCCTTATCAATATCCCTTGTTATAAAGCATATATATATGTATAATAAATATCTTTTTTCTCCATTCAATTTTTACCTTTATCAAATATGTTAATTGAAAATAGAACAAGAATTGACTTGTCCATGCTCACCTATCATATTGGAAAATCCATGTTAGTGCCAGAGTTTCTCGTGCAACAAAATAACTAACTTAAGTTGTAATAAATGGTGGTGGTATATTTCACTCATATTTTCAACATAGAATTTACAACATTTATATAACTCGTAGACTAACCACTAAGCTATATATTCGCACAAGTATATAATATATCTACGTCGTTGAACTATATACCAGCACATGTATATAGTATAAATGGAAATGCTATGTTTAAGAATTAAAATAACATTCTCCAATAAGACTAAACATACATTAATCCTAGTTGTTCCCTCAGATACACAAATCTATCGATTTTAAGGCCATTTAACAAGCTAGTAAATCTTAATAAATACACAAATCTATCAAATAACCTTCTCCTCTCATGTGAAATTGAATTCTTGATCAAGTTTATGGCAGACTTGTTGTAAACCTTAGTTTAAGAACTTCACATTGCATCTTCTTTTGTAATGAATCTAGGAAAGCTACTTGACATGAAGCAAATGAGTGATGTGTGCACTCTACCTCACATGATAATAGAGCCATGACATGTTGTTTCTTTGTACATCAGAAAAAGATAGCCTCGCCATACATGAAACATAACATAAGGGGCTTCTTCTATAAGTTATGTCACCTCACCAATCATAATATGAATAGCCTATCGATCACACATTCTTCTTTTTGTTCTTATTCTTCACGTCAATTAAAAAAAGCAAGCCAAGTATCATAGTTCCCTTTAGGTATCTGAGTATTCTCTTTGCAATTACTAAGTGTGAATTCCTAGGTCCACTAATAAGCATATTGGTTATACTTACTACATAGCATAATAGATGTCTGGTTTGCTATTGCATAAGTACCTTAATGATCCCACAACCTGCTCGTACATGATTGTTTATACTATTTCTTTCTCAATGCATTCATCAAGCTTTGCATTTGCTTAAGATGAATTTATGATTGTGTAGCAATCAATTATATCAAATTTATCTTACAACTCATTCACATATCTCTGTTGATGCATAACCATGCATTTCTTGAATTTCACAATGTCCAATCATCCCAAACTCACCTTCCATTTTGTCCTTTATAGTTTCAATTGCAGATCTATGTGTTTGCAAATACGAAGCTGATGATCCAGACATTGGTAAGCTTGGTGTTTTGATGATGACATCGCTTATGCTTATTGAAGTCAATGGTAATATATTTTCAACTCTTTGACGACGCTGATTAACTTGAAAAAATCTCAAGCATCATCAAGTATGAGATTCAAGGTTCCAGTGAAGTGTTTATATGATCATTGTACCTAGCAAATGAACTTGAAAGCTTTAGAGTTATGAAAGAAAGGAAGTGTGAAAGCTTGATTGGTCGTCTCTATCTGAGTGACCAAAGTCTTGTGAAAATAAGAGAGTAACTCCTAAGATACTAAAGCAACTCACTCACACACTTAAAATACTTTTAAGATCTATTTTTACCTAACAAAACACCTAAAAATGTGTTTTTAGGCCTAACAACTTAATTAAAGGACTGACATAATGATTAGGACAATTTTTTGAACTGTCTAATCGATTATGAATTTGTCCTAATCGATTAGATGAAGTCTAATTGATTATATAATCGATTATGATAGTCTCTTAATGGTTGGTAAAGGCTCTATATAAAAAAAAAATCTTTTTGGGCACAAATAAGTTATTATTGCAAATGTCTAATCGATTCAATAATATATTAGGTCATTTATTTGGCCCATGGATTATTTTTGTTTTGAGCAAAAAAATTCTTACATAAAGGAGGCTTCTCCTCACTTCATTTCACACCAGAATTCAGAATTTTTCTAATTCTTCACCATATATCTTTCTCCTCTCTCTTAAAATATTTCATCATTCACCGAACTTGTTATGTGAGTGAAAACTATTTGTGAGGAAAGAGTTGTATTGATCTTGTGTAATTGTTGTTATTTTCAAGAGTGAGATACTCTTGAAGAATTTAGTTTGGTTCTTGAGATCAACCATTTAAAAAATCTCAATTTGGTTATAGAACTCAACCTGAAAAAGTTATGTTTGGTTATTGAGATCAGCCTATAAAATATCTACTTGATTCGTTAACTCAGCCTGTGGAAAAACTCTCTTTTGGTTAGAGGATAAACCAATGTAAAATATCTCAATTCGCTTGTATTAAAGATTCATAGACATAACATGTAAAAGCTTGATCCAAGCAAGTTAAATACTCAATATGGAAATGCTTTAACCATAATTGAGTTTAAAGATAATTCAATAGGTTTGATTCAACATAGACCTATGCTTACACAATAAACCGCTATAAGCAAAATATAGTTCAGGTGACATACAAACAATGCTGTGATGCAAAAATTATATAACGAATGCAGAAAATTAAAGAGATAGGGAAGAAAAAAGTACATTGATATATATACTAGTTAGGTGCTATCGTCCTCGCATGCGCCTACTCCAGTCTTCAATGTTTTTAAAACCATCAAAAAATAATCAAGTCTTCCACTATTTCAAGAGGTAATGTACAAGTATTTTGATACAATGAATTATCATCAATCCGAACACTAATAGCCACACTGCATTAGCATACACACTAATCAATTGATAATCCCTTCTATTCATGCAGATACTCAACTACTACATTCAAGATCCTCAATGATCTCGATCCAATAATCTTACTATCCACAATAGTCTGCTCCAAACTCCATTTCTACAACATCCTTTCCTTGAGTATGATAAAGACTTGTTTGAGCGATTGTCATTAGCTAAGAATAATTGGACGACTCCCATCTTTGATTTGCGATAACCTTTATATGGTTTTACCAAAGTATTCAATATAGTATAGAGAAACTCTTTTCAGTTATTCTTCCTCCTGATACATAAGACACAACTTCAAAGAAAAATATCAGAATCCCTAATATACCTTTATTCAACCTCTCACTCTTAATTTTTAGAGTTAGAGATCCATAACGATGGTTCTTGACAAATATTGAAGATGATGTATAGTATGTGAAGAATATCACACACATACACGTCTAATTCTTACAAGATCCACCTTCTAGGAGGTTAATTACAAAGTTTCAACAAGGAGATAAGTGTTGGTGAATGAAGAACACACACTCTAGTTCTTTCAAGATTCTTGGCAAAATGGATTTCTTGGTTCTTGGTGAATGTTCTTAGATTGATCAATGCAATTAATAATTCATCAACTCTCTTCTCTTGATTTTTATTGTTCTACTAAGAAGCACTCAATGGTGTTACAAGATATTGTGTTACCATACTTATTCTGAGTATCACTGTTTTTGGTTTTTAGTCACACTCTCTATATATCATAGACAAGAAAAATAAGGGATAGACGATATGGTGCTAGAGGGTATACACACTAGAAAACAAAGAGACAATAAGATTTTATCAAATGAAGAAGTAATGATTCGAGTCAAAGAAACAATGACTTGAATCAATGGTTGAAAAGTAGAGGGTTGGTTCCTTGATTCGAGTCAAACACGTCCTATGTTTAAAGGTTATTGTGATTCGAATCACACACTCTCATGATTTAAATCAAAAGAGGTAGAGGCAAATCCTAACTTTCAAGGGAGATTATGGTTCGAGTCACACTATGCATGATTGGAATCAAGCTTCTCAACAACCTTGATTCAAACTTTCTAACTTGTGATTCAAGCAATACTAAATACATTGACTTAAATCAAATCGCTAGGCACAAAAACTAAACATTATCATGAATCAAACTATTAAATTATTGAATATGTTCTAAAGGTAAAACACTAATCTCATCCGAAGAAAACGAATAGAAAAGAATCCTGATGAAACACAGACATGCATTAAAATAGATAATTCACCAACACATAATTGACAACCACAAAAACTACAAACATGCGATAAATTAAATTACGCAAATACACATAATTTGAAAAACCATAAAAACTAAAATGATATCGATGATGACTACAACATCAGTCTCCCTTTTTTTGATGTTTCACAAATTTGGAGAATTATTGACGAATTGATTAGAGCGATATTTGAATTTAAAGTGGAATTGAAAATTCATGACTCCATTTTTATTGATTAAAAACCATAACAAGGTGATACAAAATTTTGAGACTTGAGTACGCATGCTCCCCGTTTGACAAATATCAAAAAGAGAAAAAAATGCAAACATATAATCATGATTAACAAAAGCCTAAAACGCAATGTCATACATTAAGGTGAGAAAAACGCGAGAAGGTGGAGTTGAATTGTCTTAACTTTTTCTTCTTTTTATCTTGAAATACTCTTATTAGATTTTGAATACATGATTAGAATCTAAGTCAAAGTTTGATGAGTGGTCGTGGCCAGCCAGCAGATAAAACAATTAAGAGATAGAGAATAGAGAATGAGAGAACATAAGCAATTATCCTGGTTCCTCCTATAAATCATCAGTATTCTAGTCCCCTTGTACTTCCATGGGATTTTTACTATAACCAAATCTGATTAAAAATGCTCAAGCACACAAGCAATAGACTTCTAAATGCTAAAACACACAAGTAAA